ATCGGCCCCCTCCGGCCAGCCCTTTGCCTGTCTGTGCCAGGCATGCCCGTGTCCCTGTGGGGGCACGGGCCCGTCCCTGGGACCACAAAGTGCCTGGCCTATGAAGGAGACATCTGCCACCCTTCCCATCACCCCGTGCCTTTGTTTTTTGTATGACCCCCACCCGCCCCGGGGGCAGAGCCCCCCTGTCCTCTCCCGTCCCCATGTGCTGGCTCCTCCTCCGCACTGTAGTATTTCTGTTACTGGAATGCAGCCTAGATTGGGGTTAGTTTGTTTGCTTGAGCGGAGGGTACTGCAGCCAAGAACGGTTGGGTTTTTGTTGGGTTTTTACATGCTGCTCTCAATAAAAAAAAAACTTTTTTTATTATTTTTTCTTTTCTTTCGGGTTTTTTGTACGATGACACTCTTAGCTGCCTCCTTTCCTCCACATGGGTCCTGGGCAGGACTGGTCACAGCCGCATTTGGCTCTCTGGCCTTTTCCCGTGGCTACTGGTGGTTGCCGAGGCTGGGAGAGCCCCAGCACAAGCCCAGGGCTGGCTGAGCTGCAGCACAGCCTGGCTGCCTGGCCATCTCCATGGGGCTGTGATGGAGCGGAGCATCTGGGAGGAGGACTCTGAACCAAGGCTGGCTGTGACCCAAGGGGCCCAAGTTGCATAAGGGAAAGGGGCAGTGGGTCCTAGGGACTGTGCTTGCCCCCAGAGAGCGATGAAAGCCTGGGCCAGTCTCAGAGAGGCTGTGGGATCTCTGTTCTTGGAGACACCCCCCACGCTTGGCTGGCCCGGCAAGCTCATTTAGTTAGCTGTGGCTGGAGCAGGGATAGACCAAACCTGCCCAGGAGCCCGTTCCCACCTCTGCCTCCCCTGGTGCTACCCTGTCTGCCCTTGTGGTTCTGCTTCTTGGGAGCAAAGGCAACACGGCCACAGAGGGTGAATCCCACAGGAGGCATCAGATCTGCAGGCTGCAGGGAAGCCCTGAAGCAGGGAGGGCACCAGCGCTAAGGTGAACCCCTGGCCTCTGGGATGGAGAGATTCGGCACTGGTGGGAGCACGTATTCTTGCGAGTGATGTCATGAAAAAAATATTCTGTGTCCTTGGGGACAGCACACATGTTGGGCAAACTAATTGGAAACAGCTGCCTGAGCAAAGGCAGGCCTAGCTACCTGGGGAACAGGAAACCAGCGCACCCCATTCACAGCCCTCTAGGAGACAGGGACACAGTTGCAGCGGGATGGGGTGGTGGGAAATCCAACCGTTTCAGATGAAACTGAAGCACTGACGCCTTCAAAAATAAGGAGGAAGGGTGGCAGCCAGGGTGGCATTTGCAGCACCCAGGGCCAAGAAGAGCAGCACGGCAGGAGCAGGAAACAAGCCCACTGATGGGCCCACCAAAACACAGGGCCCAAATGAGCATTTAAGGAGAAGCGCAAGATTTAACATGAGTAGCCCTCAATGATGTCTCTTGCCACAGTTATCCTTCCGGTGCTTTCATGCTTTGGGCACCCATAGCACTTGGGGCAATGCATAGATGTACCATAAAGCAGGAAGAAGCACCTCATCTTGTTGACTTGGCTTTCACCCAGTGCCCCATAGCTCTTCCACAGATGCCCCAGGGCTCTGGGGATGCTCTAATGGAACTTAATTACCTTGAACAGCTTCACCTGGGACCCCTACACTCTGCCCATGGCCCAAGCATTTAAGCCAAGGCACAGGCCTTTGCTTTTGCTTTGAGCCACTTTGTAGGTAGATCTCAGTCTTATTTCCATCTCTCTCCTGAATTCACCTTAGACACACGTTATGGCCTTATTTTTGGTTTTATCATTGAAGTGGATTCCTTGAGTAGACTCTAGGCCTACTTCCCCGCTGCAGCACCTGGATGTGTTGATGGATCGTGTTCGGCTCCGCTTGCCCTGCTCAGGTACTGGGAGGTTTTGCCTGTTGAGGGTGGGACGTAGCCTGTGCTGGGAGTGGCTTGTCCCTGGTAGTTGTGTGCTGTGGCCAGAGAAGCTCCTCTGCTGATTTAAAAGCAAAATCTCTCCTCAAAACTAATCCCATGTTCCCCTGGTCCAAAAGAGAAGAAAACTCCAGAAAAGAAAAAGGGGGAGGGGAGAAAGGGTCTTCACATTTCCATGGTGGCGGAGAGAGGTGCCGAGGGAATATGGCTCTTCTAAAACATGGAGTGGCCTGGGGATGCTGAGGGAGAGATGCTGTCTGAGAGGGCAGCAGCCTGCAGGAGCTGGGACTCGCCTCCTCCCGGTGGGTGTAGTCAGCTGTAGGGGTGATATCCATGTCAAGGGGCTGTTGGTGTCTGGGAGAAACCTGGGAGAGGGACTGGGGAAGAACTAGTTAAACCACAAGCAAAGCCACTGCCTTTGGTGGCAAAATTCAGCTTTGCCGGTGCCAGGGAGACAAGAGGAGGAAAGGAGGGGACATGCAGGGGGATTGCACCCCGCGAGGACATCCAGGTCCACGTTTCCTCACCCATATATGAACTTTGGGCACAGCACAGTGGTGAAATGCAGAGACCCTGCCAAAGCCACCTGTGCTGATAGGAGAACTGGGACTGCCGAGGAGCAGACTCTGCCCTTCAGAGAGGTCTGCTTCCCCGAGAAGCTCGGAGGCGGATGGACACGTGGCTCCCACCAGGAGCACCAACAGGCCAAGCAGCTCAGAGAGCATCCCCAAGACCGGGCTGGGCAGGAAATGATGGCAGCGAGAGGAGAGGCAGCACCAACCTCCACAGCCCCTTATGCCACGTGTAAGAGGAGGCCTCCCCGGCCTGGGGGGAGAGTGGGGGCACGTACAGCAGCTCACGGACCCGCTGCGGGGCTCGGAACCACCCAGGCTCACCTGGGCTAGGTGCAGCAACCCGTGCTCGGCTGGAAAGGCGAGCGGCGGGCGCATGTGATGGGAGGCATGTGAGTCCCCGCGGGCAGCTATAAATGGCATGTGCGCTCAGCGGAGGAGCGCGGCGCGGGGCCGGGGAAGG